TCACATAAATTGAAGATGTAGAAGCTGAAAAACATATTGATGATTTATTAGACATAACAAGCACAAGTAATATCAAAGTCGTTTTTGACCATAAAAACGTTACATAAGCCTTTTTTGGACCTTGAAAACCTTTGCCAGGAACAAAATTATTTGAAAGCACATGCATTTGCTTGTCAGCTCCTCCTGAAAGTTTTTGAGGTTCGACGTTATTTCTAATATAGCAGGGGGGGTAAGAGCTATTTTCTTGTGCTTCGGAGGGGGGTTCTAACTAATTTTCTGCTTAAGAAATCTGGTTTACGCCCCCATCCCCTCCTGGTAATTATTGCACAGTCCCTAAAATGATAGGGTATCAATCAAAAAAGTCTGAGTACCTTATTTCGGGGGATTACATTCAATCCAACGAGTCTCAGAAATCCGTTATAGAAGAATACAAATATTTCACTGCAATTTCGATAGAGGATGATCGAGAAGACGGTTTTACTATAGCAAAATAGGTCTTGTTTTTGTAGACAATTTTTCTCCTTATTATTCTCGAGTTATGTTAACAAAGTTGACCATGTTCCTTTTCAAGGAATCAGCTAGCTAGCATGTTCGAACAAGCATGTCAGCTAATAGCCGACTTGCGAATTACGCATCAATAGTCACATACAAAGGAATCAAGACGAGGCGCCGTGCTTTTTTGTGAAAAATCTATTGTCTTTAGCACGGCGCCTCGTCTTGATTCCTTTGTATGTGACTATTGATGCGTAATTCGCAAGTCGGCTATTATTGATGTACAACCACACTCCCCAACCCTCCCCCTATGAGGTGTTCTTTTTCAGATTGTTCACTGCGCATTGCAAAGTAATCACATTGMAAATAATAATAATTTGTTATACTTACACGTCACAGGTCTCATCATGTAGAGGTTGACCGTTTTCTAAACTCAGAATAAGAAATAAACATACCACGGCCACAGGACAAATCCTATTTTAAAATTTGTAGATTTTTTAAATTAAATTAAATTGATTACAAAGAGACTAGTGGTGAAATACGATCAATTTTACAGCGTAAAACATATGAGAAGTAATTTACTAATGTATCAGACGTTAATTTTTCGGGGGAGTAAAAGCCAGTATATTCTATTATTGATTTATAAAATTATATTATGGCATTTTTTACCTACCAAGCAAACGCGTACACACAAAATATCCTTAAAGATGTCTGAGAATAAAATGCATGAATATAGTCAAATACAAGTTCACTAGTAGTATAACCCTCACAAACATACACAAACTGATCCTCCCACAATGCATTACAAATGAATTAGTTGACGTAAAAGCTTCAGAAATTCATATACCTGAGTGATTTCAAATAAATCAGTTACTCACTAACTTCCCTCGTTCCATGGTATTACTTAATTATAATAATTATTTATTCACTTTCAATTATTCAAAATTCTCGGTCTTGTATCAAATATAGCTTTGAAGCTCATTGACCGTTTGAAAACGTGGATTGGGGAAAATTTTTCAAGGAAAATGTTTCGTGGTGAGACTTGTTCGACATGTTTAATATTAGCAATAGTATACTGATTACAGGTAACCCAGGCTCAATAACTTAGTATAAAATATGTCGTTCGCACAATATTTTTTTTGCCTAAATAATATTATTCTAACATAAATAAAACGTCTYTTRCMTTCCTGGTTRAAAATCTTTCGTTTTTAAGAGGTTTTACGCCATTTTTGATATGCCATTGTTTAACCTACTTATATTAATACAAGGTCGGAAACTGCACGCAAAGATTTCCAACAGTAACTCTACTTGCACTCGATTTTTTTGTCAAAATCCATACTTTTATCCGCATTTAACTGCTCCACAATAAACATGAATGTCCAAGGATTCTTTTGAAGCTCTTCGTCAATGAATTGCTT